ATTCTTCTCAAGAAGTCGATAAGCCGTCTTAACGTTGTTAGAACAACGGGTAAAAGTTGTATTATATCCGTTTATGAAAATTAACATACTATAGCCCTTATTATTAATAACAATATTCTCAAAACAACAATGATTATTTTAATAAGTTGGGAAACAACGATTTATAAGCATAATAATGTGATTTATTTTTTTGGGAGGGAGCATTATTATTATTATGGTTATAAATCTTTGTTGGACCCTTTCTTTCAAAAAATCCAGAATCTGTCCTTGGGAATGCTGATCTATTGAGAGTTGTATGAAACTGAAATCATCTGTGTTTTTGAAGCCATCAACACTGATGTTGTGGTTTTGATTTCATAAAACTAAAACGTGGGACTATGTAGGAGATAACACTGACATTTTTCCTGTTGTTGTTATATTTTATTTTATTAAGAAATAAAATGTAACTGCCTAAAATTTGAAAATTAATTAACGTAGGTGTGACCTTTAAAAAATGTGATGCATGTGTCTTACATTTATTGGCTTACATCAGTCATTCAAGTGAAAATAGTAGCAAGTTCCTTACATAGATTAAGAATTTAAAATGAAAGTAACATTAAAGAAAGAAAATTAGTGTAACTTACATAGAAAAAAACATAAATGCCAGTAGTTTGCTTCATGCACTATTATAGATTTTATGTTCCTCAAAGAACTTGGCATTAGTATATGCAAAACTTAGTTTAATTCTCCCTAACAAAGTATTATGGCTATTGAAAGACTCTTAAATGACTCTGGTGATGTAGCTTGACATATTAGATAAATTGCTACATGTTTATGTTTGGTGATAGAGTTGGGTTGCTGAATGGTACAGCAAAGATGTAATGAGTAACAGAACTGTAAAATAATAAATAGGAATAAGTAAATATAACCAGTTTCTAAGTAATAAAAAAAATATCCAGTAAACATACAATGGGATGTCTAATCCATACACTTAAATTATTAGTGATAAAATGAGTAATGCTGCCAATGACCCCTGTAATGATTATGCCTTGCCCTCATTTCATAGTGATACACTTAGTTTTCGATTTGTTTAATGTGTATACATATGTGTTGATGTTTGTGACTGTGATGGGAGTGTAAAAAAAAAGAAGAAACTGTCATTAATGTTGTGATATACTCTGATAAATACCTTGAAACTCGTAAGTCATCAGTTTTCACCACTTTGAAAGTTGAAACAAGTGTGTGATTATTATGTAATAATTATAAATAAGAATAGGCATTCTTTCATCTTAACTTTTACTGTTTTACCAATCATGTCACAATTGGAAATTGGTGATTGCTGATTATTATAGCTCCCAATTGGCTCGATTCTGATTATGTACAGTAAAGTTGATGTCATTGTGTAGTATTGTTGACAGTATATCCTTGAAAATCGTAATGACTACAGAGAATGTACTTTGAAACTTCATTAAATTTGAAATTGTTAAAGTTACCAATAAATGTGCCATGCAAAAAAAAAAATCAATCTTTTTCCAATTTTTATTAGATTGAGTGACCTTATGGCTAGTACATGATTGATACATAATGTTTTGTCACCATTGCGAGACAAACAAATTATTGAGGTTCATTGCCTAAATTTATCATTCACTTTAGTCAGAAGTTTAAAGACTTTTGCTATTGCTCTATAAATTTTGAACTAAATCACTTTCTAAACCAAAAGAAAAGTATTCCAACCAAAGGTTAAATAAAGTGACATTGTTTGAAAGTTTTTGTTTGTAAACCAGCCTGATTGTAAAGCCTCCATGTAATGTATAGTCCATAAAGAAATGGGTGTGTAGAAAAGTGCAGAGTATTGTTTTTCTTAACCTTTCTTTTGTTCAGTGTATTAACCTATGTAAATACATGTGAAACAGAGATTGTTTTAACTGATATTTTATTCTTTGGTGAATAATGTTTTATATCGGATGAAAAAGTAAAAAGTCTAGGGTTGTGATTGTAAGCATACTTAAAAGTCGGAAGATGGGGTACTTTTCCATTATACTCCCACAAATGGTAAGTTTTTACAGTATGAATACAATGCTTATGAATATATTTTTAGAAATTTATTATGGACATTTATTATATAAGTAAAATGCATATATTTATATATAAATAATTAATATATTTACATATTTTTACACTTATTAAAATTGTGTGGTATAATGTAAAATTTAATGAAATTTGTTGGGGGTATAACAGAAAAAGTACCAAAGATTGTTGTTGTGAATAAAGGGGTCTGGGTGGTGTTATTTTAAATTTCTTAGCAATTGGTTTTCTGAGATTGGGAAATTTAACAAGTTCTACCAATTCAGATTGTCACCCTATTTTTCTATCCAAAATGTGTCTACAGATAAGTTAAAATTTCTGATCCTGGTTGCTCTTAGCTAGAACATCAGTGCCATCATTTGTCTAGCAAAAAAACCTATACTCAAAACAAAAACCATTTGATCATTGTTAATTACAAAAAACATAACAGAAAAGGAAATTTAAAATTTTTAAAAGTACTTTCATATATAAAGTGCTGTGTTCACTTTTAAGAAACTGCATCACTGTTTGTGGTACTCAGGTTCTGCTGATGGGGACCAAGTTTGATCACACAGTGCAGTATGATACTGGGGAAGTTATTCCCTGTAATATGCTTTGTTTTTAATGAAAGATCTTTTCTTAGAGGGATTTCTTTTGGACAAATGTGTTTTACAGTGTCGATAAATCCTTTATAATTAGGTAAAAGAACATCAGTATATCTCCAAGCATGTCTAATTTACAAAGCATCATTAATCTTTCTTATTAAAATTTGTTAAGTATGAAAAAATTCAAAATTACGTGAATATAAATTGCAAATTAAGAGTCGAATTACCTTTCACAGGTATTCCTTGTATGGTTGGAAGGCATTTCAACTAAATTATGCAAATAAATAAAACAAAAAAAAACATTAGCTTGTAAGAATTAGTTTATTGTAAAAATGATGGTAATTTTTGTGTCAACATATAAAAGCATGTTTATTAATACAAAACATTAACAGTAATTGTAAAAGATTTTGAAATTGTTGATGAGAGTGTAAGAGACTAGTTTTGATTTTTGCACTAGTGTTTTAATTATATGGTATTAAAGATAACTAGTAGACATAAATTATGGTTTTAGAATTTGAAAAATTTGTTGGTCTTCCAAACAAATATATTCTGAATTTAAATTATGATATTTTAAACATTTTGCCCTCTCTCTGCTTTTATTTAGACTATCTGTGCTGTAAAAGTATTGGACAGAAAAGATGAAGACATACTTGAGTACTAGTCCACATCCATTCATCTTTGTTTTAAGCATCAAAAGAGTATATTACCACCCTATTTTCAGAGTCTTAGCATCGATGTACTTTTTGTCAGACCACAAAGCATTTACGAACATGTAATTTTTATATAGGTCTGATAAAGAGCAAGTCTAATGAAGTTTAAACGAAGCTGACCTAAAACAACTTTAAAATGTCTCTAAAATCTTATCGACCCATACGTATGAAACAAGAACTGCCATCCAGTACTTCATCAGCTGTTCCTGTGTGTTTTGTATGTGGAAATGAAGGCATAAGGCTATATCCATTATACTCAAAACCTTGGGATGGTGGACCATTTTTTCCATTTTTGGAACACCATCAATGTCCTCAAGGTGCAAGTCCAATTTCATCTAATGGAATAGCTATGGCTTGTATGGTTTGCTATTCTTTCCTAACTCAGCAGTGGGAATCGTATGAAAAAAGTCGAACTTCTCATGACAGAAGACTTTATTGGTTGAAACGTTGTGACAATGGTCCTTTTGCTGGAATTGAGTTTGGAGTACAGTCAGAATATGCCTCCCAAGTGTTAGGTATACCTCAGTCTGGTTCTTCTGAATCAGCTCGTCAAATTCCTTATAGATTTTGCAGCATGGTTGATGAAGTCTCGCAGCCTGATCAAATGGAGAGGATTGAGTCTAGAGATTCAAACTGTAGCAGTTTCTCTAATCATATTGAAAGATCTCAGCCAACTCTTGAAGATAGTGAAGCCTTAGATCTTAGTGTATCAAACCGAACGTCCTTTCTTGAATCTCCTTCAGCTAGTATGGAGGTTTGTTATGTGTGTGCAGGTACTTTCCCTAAGGGAACTTTAGTTAATGTATATGCCAAACCCATAGCCAATTGTCCATTTTTTCCAAGTTTGGCCATTCATCCAAAACCTTCTAAAGCCAAGTCTATGGATTCGTCAGGCAGAGTGAAAACTTGCGAATCTTGTCATAGATTTCTCCTGTGTCAATGGGATGCTTATCAACAGCAGAATATTCCACATGCAGAACGCAGCTATTATATAGCAGGCAAGGAAAATCGTCTTACATCACTAGATAAAAACAATCATTGTTCCAAGATCCTTCATGAAGAACCTGGCTTTGTTTGCTTCACTTGTGGAATAGAACATCCATTTTCTCTGCAACGAGACATTTATGCATACCCACAGCCAGAAAAAAGCCCTTATTTTAAATTCCTCAGACGTTTGAAACCAAACCCTGGTTCAGTTCCTATGTCTTCCCATGGAAAAGTTGTGGTTTGTGCGTATTGTCAGAAGTTTTTCTTGGAGCAGTATCAAAACTTTGAAATATCATGTACACCAGAAGAGAAAAGAGTGTACAGACTTCCAAGAGAAAATTCTAGCAAAACTTCATTTCTTCAGCAGAACTGTAATCCTGTTCAGCAGGAGATGGTATCTGGAAGTTTTGGGTGTTATTTGTGTAAAAAGCCAACTGCTATTAATCAGCTGTTCTTGGTGTCTTCCAGACCTGAGAATGGTACCATGTTTTTTCCATTTTTAAGAGACCTCCCCAAACCAGCAAATGCCAAACCAATGGACTATTATGGACAAGTTTTAACATGTTTGGATTGCCATGGAATTTTACAAAATCAATGGGAAGCATTTGAAATGGCTAATGTCCCACATCAACAAAGACAGTATTTTTTACACTCTACAAAATCGGCAAGTCTTGATCATACTGGGATTTCAGGAAAGTTGAGTTGCCCTGAAATTTCTTTATCGCCTCATAGCAGTAATTCTGCACTGCACATTCAAATCTCCTCTCCTGATATGCAAATTGATACTGGAAGAAACATAAAAAACCATGAACCGTTGCTGACTACTGTGAGTACTCTTCTAACAAATTCAGTCCACAATACACAAGTAAACTTGCCAGCATTTTCTAGAGTCTCAGGAAGTAGTCAGGATTCAAACTTAGTTGCCACTGCTACAGCTCGTATCAACTCTTTGAAAGTAAACATAGAAGATCAGGATGGCAATAGACCAAGCAGGTGTCAGGACTTTAAGATAGACTGCCCATTTAGTGCTTCCTTGAATATAATGCCATTAATGGTTTCTACAGTGTGCTTTGTGTGTGGTGAAAAATCTCTCCCTGGACACACCTTTCCTCTTGGAGCCATTCCAAACAGAAATGAAAATCCATTTTTCCCATTTCTACTTAAACACCCCTCTCCTATTGGAAGTCAACCTCTCACAGATTATGGGAGTTGTTTAGTGTGCACATTTTGTTATCATTCTTTGATGGCACAGTGGTTTGCATATGAAACTTCTCCCTATGCTGAAGATGGCCATCCTTGGGATCGTAAATATAACACCCACCATTATGTGTGCTTTATATGTGGGACAACAACATACCGTCAGCGTGTTCGTACTATATTCGTAAGAGATTTTCCTTTCTTAATTGATCACCCAAGGCCTCCTGGTGCCTTGACTCTTGCCAATGGAAGATCTGTAGTGACTTGTCTAACTTGCTATGAGTTTTTGATGTCACAGTGGAAAGACTTTGAAAGGATGAAAGTTCCTGTGGAACTCCGAAAATACAACTGGATTGTTCTGCCTCCTCCTCCTGAAAGTGATGCTGCTCGTATTAATCAGTGTTTGGTAAGCATAAAGTAAATTTCACAAGTAAGGATAAACATAAAATGATTTTAAAATTAACATTTTGCAATTAAAAAAAAAATAACTCAAAAGTTGTAAATTCTGAATGTTTTTCTTTATAAACTACAATTAAAAATTCAGTTTCACAAGATAGGATAAACCTAAATCTTTGATCCTTTGACATTATCCAGTTTATTCTAAAACTACCTGAATATTATAGTTTAATGAATAGAATTTTCATGTCTTGTATTTCAAGACCATTTCAAAACATTTCGGTGCTACACAAAGCCCAAAAAGAAGTTTATTTGTTATACCTGTTTTCAAAGTGAAAATGATTAAAGTATCTGGTTTTATTATGTAGCGTACACAAAGAAATTTTGATCCTGTTTGACAAATCTAAATTAACAAAACTATATATATAAGAGAGCAAATACAGATTCCATTTTTTGCCATGATAGTAAAAAGTAGAAAAAATACATTTATTTCTTGCCTTGTTTAGTAAATCCAGTGTTCTAACAGAAGTCACAGTAACCTGACAATAAACAAGTTTTTCTGTTAACCCTCAGCAGTCGGTGTCTAGTCCCAGTCCTGGCATTAGATGGTCAGTATCAGTTTCAGAAAGCTGTGATACAGAAAGGATACAGAACTTAACAAATTCATTGATTCAGCAAGGTATGGTAAACTTTTGTCATTCTAGTATGTTTTGTTTTTGTCTAAATTTTTTTTCAAATAAACCAAAATATTCATCCAATCATTTAAAATATTGGTATACAGTATATGCTTTTGCCCTACTTCATGATTTAAATTTTGAAGTATTTTTTGTTGTAAATCATTTGGCCATTAGAGGTATGTCACTGCACAGTATAAAAAAAAAAAAAATATTGGGACAGCTCACCTTGAATTGGAGGTAAAGGTTGCCACTGAGTTTAAAAGTTTATTAGGAGTGTGCTCACCTTTCACACTAATCACGTTCTATCATCTGTTATAAACACCCCTCATCAATTGCTGCTATGCATCTTTAATGAATAGGTCATCATTCCTCATACAAAATAGCTCCAAGTGTAATGTGTCTAAGCAAAACGTATCAAACTTGTTAAAATCCTTCACACAATAATACAGTGCATGTAAAATGCATTGCTCCATTGAATATGGCTGTCACATAGAAACTTGGGAAAAATACGAGGATGTATTGAAATTTGGATAATTACTCCTTTGCAAATTTAATAATTACCAATGTGATTACTTGGACCTCCAGAAGGATGTTTGCATAGTCAGTAGTAAGTAGCTTAATGTATGTTCAGGTGATATCTTTCCAAGTTAATAAATATTAGCTGCTGAGTGAGACTTTGTTTTTGTAATTGCTTTACCTTAGGTATTTGAGTGTTTCGAGTTTACTCATCAAAACTATACTTCAGGTTTCTAGTCAGCTTTTTTTGGCTTTGAATTGGCTTTGAAAAATCAGCGTGATCCCATGGTGTATTTTGTTTTTACAAAATTCTTAACTAGTTATAAATACTAATTTTGAAACATACTAAATATGATCAAGGAATTTATCTTGTTTCATGGAATAATTTCATTGTGTATTGCTTGTCCTTACATTTGGGGGATACATTGTGTTTGTTACATGAAGCAGAGATATTTTTGCAATTTGGTGTCCTCTTTTTAATGATTGTTCAGCTGCAGAGAGAACGTGTGTTGTGAATGCAGTTTTGGTGGTCTCAGATCAGATTTGTTCCAACTTACAAGGAAGGCAATCTGTTTCTTGATTTGAGAGAGTCAGAACATGCTTTGTATTACCTTCTATCTATCTGCTGATTGTGCACATATTGTGCTAACTTCATTTTTACTTCAATTTCGTTCAATTTTATTTTACTCTTAAATTCTTCTCTTAGAACTTGAACATGGGAGAAAAGTAATATGTAGTTCCACAATGAGTGGTGTTTATATAATCTATATTAAAAAATGTCAAACAGATAAAGGGTTGTATTTTTTTCGTGATTAATGAATGGTAACATTATCAATAATGTAATACTTCCTGTAATATTTAATTTCTTCATATTTTGAAAACTTAACCATAGTAAGCTAATATTATCACATACAAATTGATTTGGAATGATGTGATTTTTGTATGCAATTGCATTCAAAATAAAGTAGTTCTTACTAAATATTAAATCAGTTTTTGTGGCTTTCCATTCATTTATAGAAAATATTTTGTGTGATAGCAAAACATGTTTTAAAGCTTTTAGAAAACCACTAGCAACTGTTTAATACAAAAGAGATAGCTATTAGTCAACATTTAATGGCTTTTCAAATGGCTGGCAAATACCCATTAGCAGTATAGTTTTTTCAATATTGTGTATTGAAAATTATCGTTTTAGGTATGTATCAATCTTTAATCTATTACCATAAAATTCAAGTCTCTTAAATAATAATGCTGACTATTTATTAGTTCACTTAACTACCTTAACTTTTTAAACCCATAATGTTTTGCATGTTTTACCAGAATTATTTTCATGATGTAATTATCACCATACCTTATAAAATTTGTGGTCTTTTTTTAAAAAAAGGTGGATAATAACATGGTTTGTATTAGTTTTTAGTCAAAGAGACATAAATGTTATTGGATTCTATCACCATCCAATGAGTAAATTTGGATTTTTGTCACAATGCTAGTAACATCTGTTCAGGTTTAAGGAGTTAAATGGTTAGTTTTCAAAGGTAATTACATCTCATTTAGAAAAGAAGTTGTACTTTTAACTGGAGTAGTTGTTAACACAACATGCATATTTTATTATGTGCCAACTTTTATTTTTTTATTATCATAAGTAACTACATTTTTCTAAATAGCAATTACAGTGCTGATTAGAAATTTCATTAGGAAATAATAGTTTGTTTGTAAATTGATTTTGATAAAACCTTATATGCTTATTTTTTGCCATGCATGGGGAATAGGTTATAGAAATTGCCTTGAATGCTAAAACTGTGAATACCATTAGTAATAAAGATATCAGTGTCAGAAGAAGCAGGCAAAGGACTCGGAGAGGTTACACGGGAGGGTCTGCACAGGAACACTGAGAACACATGGGATGCTGTGGCGAGAGCGTGGGCTGTGCAGTGCATGCAGCACAATGCAAGCCTCTAACTAGTTTTGAGGGGTGAACTGTGGCTGTACTGCATATGACAAGGGATAACTGTATCACATCTTATCTATAATGGATATAGTGTATAAATATATATATATGTGACCAAAATAATAAATACAATGTGGCACCATCTATTTAATGGCATCACAAACAAAAATCCATTAAAACATTTCTTACTTTGGGTATTCAAGATTCAGACAGTTAGAAAAATAACTACAGTTTGTGCAACAACCATTTCTGTATCACAGAACACAATTTTAAATAAAAGTACTCTCCTCAAAACAAGAAAGCTACTTCACTAGAACTGTACGTGAGGGTTTGATTATATCTTTATTGGTGTAATTTGGAAATATAGTACTAAAAAATGGAGTTCTTAGAAATAACTTATTTTTTTTCAAGGGTACCACTTTTAATGTAAAAAATATTTACAGTTTATATTAGCACAATCTGAACACTTTTTCCCATGAAGTAAATCCCAGAAAAATCTTTTTTAGAAAAATGTTCAATTTTTCTAATTATTTTTTTCTTCGGTGATGTATGAATATTACGATTAGTAATTACTAGCACAAACAGCCACTCGTAGGGCTTTGTTTCTGCTATTTTGAATAATCTATGGAAGAAAACTAAAGTGTGAAACTGTCTTACTGCATTGGAACAAATAAAATTGGGAACGTACAGTTGCTTGAAAAAATTAAAATTAAGTGCATCTGAAATCATTTTTCTCTGAATCAGCAATGAGTAACAAGTAAAGCAACTGAGAAAATTAATAGATACAAGATAAAAATGAGAAAAGCATTACTGAACAAATAAAAAAAAAAAAAAAAGTAAAATCAACATTACGTATAAATACAACCATGCATTTTTACAATAAAAAGAAAATTACGAATGTATTTCAAGGTCTGTCACTTGTATAAGCACACCAAAAAGTAGTGTACTTTTAAATCATTTGCCTGGCTGTTTCTGGTGATAATTAAACTGCTTCCGATATGTTACTTACCATCTCTCACATATTAGCTATTCTTGTACAGTGCTGTCCTCTATATGCAAACACTTTCTTTACTCATCCTACAAACCTTGTGCTCCCCCCCTTGTTGGAACTAGTACATTCCAACGTGTGTCTTATGCACATCATCGTGCATCATCTATTAACCACTAGTAGCATAGTATGCTCACGTGACACAAGTGTCTCCCCCTACTGAACCCCAACCTCTCGTTTGACAGCATTTGAGTACGTTTTCTTTTGTGCTTCATGTGTGACACGTTTTGATTTTCTTATGAAGTAGTTCTTTTTTGTTGTTGTTATACATTACCACATTTCTCCCAGTTTATTATCGTCGCTTTTCTACCCTACACAATTGTGTGCAGTTTTTGTGAGTTATGAGTTCTGAAGTCAGTGTTACCACTTTGGGGATCACACCAATGACCAATCTTCTATCTCAGTCCTCGGGTGCTGGTGACCCAACTGTAGGAGATTGAACGCCATTTTGATCGTCTTTTTCTCCTTCTGAGTTTGCTGTTCTTTCCAAGTTCCATCCTAACAATTCATCTAGATCTTCCTCAGCTTTTACAGATTTTGTGATGTTTTCTCTCTTTCCCCTATTTCTTATTCCCCGTGTCCTTCTTTGTTGCATGAGTATTCTTCTCAACCATTTTTGGTATTTCCTCCCTCTCCTAATATTTGGGTCCATGCCAATCACTTTCTCTCCCAGGTAGGTGAAGAGATCAGTATGCTGTGTCCCCAAGAGCCTCTTATCAGTACGCCCTTGCTTACCATCGGGTGGAATATCCGTTTTTGGATCGCCAGTTGTTTGCTTCCTTATTACTTCTTTGGGGAGCAGCTTCCAAATCTAATGTTAGTCTCACACATGCCCAATATTCTCGCCTTCATGTTAACGTTACTACTCTTCTCTGGTATCTGTCTTCTATACATCTCCTCTTGGAGGCTCTCCACAGAAATCCCGAGGACTTTCTGCTGATACCCTACACCTTCTCTCTTCCACTCTGGCCCATATTTCTTCTTTGACTCTGTCGTTACATACGTGGTTTCTTTGTTGTTGGGACCTTATCAGTAGGGACTACATTTTGGCTCTTGTTAATTTACCCTCCACTTTTCTCGGGGATTTGCATCTTGCAGCTCCTTTTCTTTGACATTATATTTTTGACACCATCCCTGACAACATCGAGCCATGGGTAACATCTTCCAGACAACAGTCCACCCTTTCAACTTTTGTTGCCCGTTTTTCTCGACCAGATCCTTCCATGCCACCTATTCTCATTTCCCGCCCATCGTCCTCCCACCCTTTACTTGATCCTTCAAATCTGGGTACTTCTTTTTGTTGAATTCATTGCCAATGTATTGTCCGTTGACAACAGTACCTGTTAGAAGTTGATTGTGGACAGCTGTGTGTAAAATTGTATGCTGTTTAGTTTGTTATGGTACAAAGTTTGAATCAAAGTACTTGTGCTAACCTTACGTATGGGGCATTTTGTGGTGCGTATTTGGTACCCAGAGGGTCAAATCTCATGTCC